GGCTCCACCCAGCTCCTCGCGCCGACACTGCCACAGCCAGAGAGCCGAGAAGGAAAAGGCCGGAGGGAAGCCCGGCCCGTTTTCAAGCCAAGGACTTCCCGGCAGCCGCCCGCCTCTGAGCTGCCCACGGCGGGCCAGCAGGAGAGCGGGCAGCCAAGCTCGGAGAGCAAGAACCACCCTCCGGGCAGCGGCGGTGTCTGGATCAGCCCTCTGGAATCCTGCCCACTTTCTCCTAGGAGGCAACCCCAAGGTTGAAGTATTCCCTGCTGTGGGAATTTTGCTTACTGCCTCCGATCAATTTACCCGTTGGGGGTCTGGGGTTGAACCTTGCCAATAGAGTGGGGTCAAAGGATAGAAGAAAAGGGGAGGAAGTAAAGTCTGATGTCCTGAAATGGTTTCTTGCTACCTCTGTCTGCAGCTGGAAGGAAAAAGAAGAGGACGACCAGCAGCCAGTTGCAGTGGTGATGGGGACACCCTTGGAAGACTTGAAGGACCAGGTTAGGCACAGATCATCTTGGAGAAAATCTATCTGTGCGGTCCCTTAGAGTGGATACTGACTTGATGGCACATAATCAATCAATATCTGCAGCAGTTTTTCTATCCTGAAGAATGCCGTTTGCTGCCTTTCAAAGACTATTGATCAGGTCTCCAGCCAAAAAGGGAATATTCCAGGGCTGTCCCTCAAGTCTTCTTGCTGCCAAAGGACATTTTGGGTTGCCCCTCACCTGCTCCTTTGGGTTTCTCTGTACCGATGTCATTTATGCACACCCTGCATGAGTGCCAAGGGTTGCACAAGATGAATTAAAAAAAAAAAAAAGGAAATACAGAGAAATATGCTGACACACACTGTAAAACCCATCAAGATAGTCATAGATATGACCAACCTGGCTGGCCCAAGCAAAGAACAGACCCACTAACAGCTATACTCTGATGACCTGAACAGGGTGGAAAGTTTCACACCTTGTGAAAACCAGCCATGAAGATTTATTATCCATGCTTGACAGCTTAGGAAGTTGGGGAAATCTCATCATTTGTGGTTTTCTCAGTAAACCAGAATTAAGCAAATCAGGTCTTAGGTCAATGGATGAATCCAGGCCCTGTGCCTTACTTCCAAGTAAATGAAGGACAGCATCATATGGTATACATTGTCTTGTCTGCTACAATATATGATAGAATCATAGAGTTGAGAGGGGCCATTGGGACTACTGAGCCCAACACTCTGCTCAGCACAGGAATCCAAATCAAAGCATTCAGGCAGAGGGCTCTCTGGCCTCCACTTGAGCACATCCAATGAAGAGGAGCCCGCCACCTGTCTGGGTAGCCGGTTCCTCTCTCAAACTGCCTTATCGTTAGGAAGTTTTTTTCTAATGTTGATGTCGAGTCTACAGTCCTGTAACTTAAATCTGTTATCCCCTGTTCTGCACTCTGGCACAAGAGAGAAGGGTCCTGACCTTCTCCTATGGGGCGTCCTTTCAGGTATTTCAAGACAGCTATTCACTTCCCTCTCAGTAATATTTTTCTCAAGGCTAAACATATCACATTCATCCAATTTCTCTTTGTGGGGTTTAGTTTGTAGTCTTCTAAGTGTCTTTGTTGCCATTGTTTGAACTGGTTCCAATTTCTCAGAATCCTTCTTAAAGTGTGATGCCCGCTTTAAGTATGGACTTAAAATGTGTGGGGTCTGACCCACGCAGAATAGAAAGGAATTGTTACTTCCTATGATTAGATGCTCATTTCATTTGCTTTCTTTACACAGCCACATCACATTACTGGCTCATTTACAATTTCTAATCAAGGATTAAGCCAAAATCTTTTTTTGCAAGTGCTATTACTGAGCCAGGTAGTCCCTGATCCTATTCTTGTGTATCTGATTTTTGCCCCCTAAGTAAAGAATTTTGCACTTGTCTTTGTTAAAGTTCATTCTTTTATTTTCAGACCATTCCTCTAATACATCATGATCATTTTGAGTCTTTTTTTTACTTCTAAAGTATGCACTATTCAATCCAATTTTTATAATCTGCAAATTTCATAAGCATTTAGATCTTTAATGAAAATATTGAAGAATAGAAAACCCTGGACTTTTTTTTTATTTTAAGATCTCCACTAAACTTTTTCAGGAACCACATTGGTCCTTGATTTTCTCTACTCACTGGAATTTCATTTCTTCTAGGGTATAAGCTATCTAACCCAATTTTGCATCATCTGGAAATATATTAAGCATTCCCCCCCACCCATCATAAGCTCCTTTCCCTATGAGCTTCTCTTCCCATGGAATTCTACTTATCAATTATTGATCTGTTTATTAAAATCTGCTTTTCTGAAGCCCAAAATACAGGTGCTCAGTTTCCCTTAAAACTGAGAGTGATAATCACTTACACACAGTGCTCCTGCTGCTTTGACGTCCTCAGCTATATATAAATATACAATCTAAAATTAGTACAAAAATAACACTAACAATTATTCTGACCCATTCAGATTAATATCAATTATCTTGTCCAAACCAAAATGCTGAGTTGTATAGTTGTTAAAAAACCAACCAAACAAAATGCTCTATTCCATCATCTCACTAAGAGTCTAGAAGAAGTAGACTATGGAAAGTAATAGCACCAATCTTGCTGTCTTTTTGATTTGCTGATGTTTTAGGGACATTTTCAAAAGCAGCCCCAAAAGGGACAACGGTACCACAGTGTGAATAATGACATAAGATTGGGCTACATGTGGTGCATCAGCTAAGCTAATAAAAGGTCTCCAAAGTCCACCTGTGTAATGCAAGATTTGAGAGTACTCCCAAACTAAGCATCTGATCCTACAGGGATTATGCAACTACTCATACATCACACATGCACGCACACACATATACACACACAAAGCGTAAACATCCTTACTATATCCAGGTACCAATTTAAAACATCCACCACTTCACCTTGATTAATATAGGGCTGGATGGCATCTGTATATGGATGATATCAGAGTCAGCATTTTTGTATAAGTTCTCCCAGAAGTTCCATGTCATTGTTGAACAACATGCCAAATAAAATTTAATCATAAGCAATCATATTCTCACTAGAATATCATGGAAGCTCCACTTCTAAAAAAAGCTTAAGAATCTTATAGTGAATGACTGAGCTGGAAGTCTCAACTCTTCTCCAAGAAGCCTTCTGGCCTTTTACATCCTGGCCCCACCTCGTGTTTTGTGGCGGCAGTTTGTTAGTTTCTGCTGCCATCACCTATTTTCCAGGGAGTACTTGACCTGATATCCACACCCTAACACTGCTGTTGAGAGAAATAGACTTTCATAAACTGTGCTGCCTTTCTGGCAATTAAAACATCAAAAAGCAAAAATTAAAATAATTTCAATAGGGGCCATGTAGTGTAAAGTCATGGCATCTAGATCAGTGTTTCTGAGCCTTGGCAATTTTAAGATGTGTGGACTTCAACTTCCAGACTTCCCCAGCCAGCTTTGCTATAGTAAGCATTCTGGGAGTTGAAGTCCATACATCATAAAGTTGCCAAGGCTGAGAAACACTGATCTAGAGGATTTAGCCTTTTCCTCCCACCTTATGAGATAGACCAATCTCACAAGAGATAAACAAAATAAAAAAGAAAAGAAAGAATAAAAGGCAAAAGCTTTTTTAAACTTTAGTACTAAAATGGAAATATTCCATGTTTGAGATAAATAAGAGAGCAGGCCATTTCAACAAAAAAGCAGTTGGTAGCAGAAAAATCCAAAAGACAGTATAGTGCTCCAGGATGATATTGGTCTGCTCCATAAAGAGATAAGATAGAATTCCAAATTAACAGGAATTACAAGAATATTCTACAGAGGAAAATGTATTTTATGGAACTCAGCCTGAAATATGGGATAAAAGCTGCAAGTTGAGTATGAAGTTCAATAAATTTTATGGAGAAATAAAAGACAGAAGAGCATGAGACTTTAGCACTAAACAGCAAGCAGAATCAACCCTAACACAAATTCCTGGCTAAAACTTTTATTTTATTTTATTTTATTTTATTTTATTTATAGTATTTCAATGCTGCTCTATGGAAGTAATCTTTTTCTAAAGCAGAAGTTCTTCTGTGTAATGGCTGGTTCACAGACTGATAAGGATTCAGGAGATGGCTTTGTAAACAGTCATCCGCAAGTTTCTCATTATCTATGAAAAAAATCACCTCCTTTTCAGTTCCCAAGAAATATGTTAGAAAGAATTTGAAAGAGTCTCCACCAGGATGTATTTCAAGATAAACTGGTTGTAAATGAGAAATAAATCAGTTGCTGAAATGCTTGTAATCCTATCTATTTCATCTCAATAAATCCTGTTAATGAAGACCCCGTGATAAACTTGCTTGAAAAAGTTACTTTCAGTTGAGTCAGCCACCAAAAGCCTGATGTTCTGCCTCATTTACCTGGACTTCCCCCAGATATCTGAACATCCCAAATTTAATCAGATGCTGTCCTTCTCCAAGCCTCAGTATACAAACTTCAACAGAGTGCTGTCCTTTCTTTTAAAATGACCAAATTTCTTTTATCTCCAGCAAAAGAAGGGGCTGGAGTACCTAACTTTGAACATGATCCAGACAGCATCTCTTTTTGATAGATAAGTACTATACTGTGAATGCTTGAGCCTGTCATCAATCTGACAATCAAGTTACATTCGCAACACAGCTTCTGGAACTTCTGTTTTCATGGAAATCTAGAACTGCCAGAACATCTCTGCTGTTAATACTTTAACAGTAATGCTGTTAAAAGTAATGCTGTTACTTTCCAAAGTAGCCTTTTGCCATGTTCCTGTCTTAATGCTGCAATGAAAGGAGAAACTAATTGTTGAAATGTGAGTTGCCACAACACACTTAATCTGGTTGCTGAATTAATCCATTTTGGATTCACTCAGCACATTGAACCATAACTAGCCAAATGGGCTGGGTTTGCGCAACACTCAAAGCTGAAAAAAGTTAAACCAAGGTAACACAAGCCAAACATTGCA